TAATGATCAAACTAATAGTTTAAAAGTTATAAACGTTTCACGTACTAAAAGTAATATACAAAAATAATCAAATAAGCAACCAAACAATTTTTTATTTGTTTACGGACCTGTCATTACAATTAAAACAAGTGAGGCTTTGCTTCCTTTGCCTTTTTTATCACTGAATTAAATGAGACTATACACAAGTTAATAGAAACAAATAGTTGTAGTAAGAGATTTAATGTATAAAAAGTACTATTTTGGCACCAACTTCACTGTATTAATTATAGTTAATTTTTTTATATACTTAACATTATTGATTAATAGGAATTGATTGATTTAGGAACTATTTGTAAAGAAAACATTTTGTAGTTCAGAATGTTCAAATTAGGTTATTATAATTAATTTTTCTTAGGTATGACGGCACCAGCTATTTGTTTATTGTCTATAACACAATCTGGTTGTCGTCCCGAACTCATAGTTGCCTTACTGTCCATTGGATTAGGAATTGATGGTTGCGTATTTTCAGGATATAACATTACCTCTGTGGATATGACGCCTAACTTTTCTGGTTACAGGGGTGTCATAAACCAGTGTTCTCATGTGACTCCAGAAATCAAGACATGATAGGTCGGGTGACCGAGGAGGCCATATAATTTTTTCAATGTATTATAATAGCGATTTTTCACTTACGATCTCTTTTCTTTATGGTGCTTCTATGTACGTCACTGCTTCAGGAAAGCATTTCCGACCCTACATTGCTATATGATTTCGAGTCGTCAGAATACCCCCTACCCCTCTTAGAAGTTCTGAAACGCTTAACTGAGACACCCTGTATATATATATATAAAAGGAATGCATTTATTTTTTCTTCTTCTTTCTTTTCGTCTTCTTCTTATACCTCATAGTTTCGTATGGAGCATAGTGCATTTTCACGATTCTCCATCTCAACGTGTTGGTGGCCAAACACTTTATTTCTCTCCATGTTTCGTCCATTTTATTTTATTTTGAAACCGTCGTTGAAGAGCCGACCCAATTTTGGGATTACGACTACTAATGAACATCTTACTAACTAACGCAGATACTTTTTTACGTCGCACAAGACGGAAATAAAATTCGTCTAGTCGTCAATGCACAATAGGCTATCGCAGACGGTTTGGCAAGCCTCCCTGAGGATGATCCGAAGATATAATTTTGAAGCTTTGCAGAGGGGATGGCTTCCTCGCTATGGTAGCCCGAAGACCCGTGTGCAAAGTATACTTTACGGTAAAACAGTTTAACGAGGACTGATGCCGCTCATTTTCGGTACCTACTCAGGCTGATCAAAGTAATCACCCACCCTGCTTATTGACCTAAGTCAGTAATGCTTGAGTTCTTTGTTCTACAGGAACTGTGTCTTTACAATCAGTCCACTGCAGAAGAAAGTGGATTCATTACATGCTAATAACTTGATCACAATTTATATTGTCTTAACAGTAGATATTTTGTTGCATTATTGAAAACAAGAATGCATTTTCTTTCCAGGGAGACAAATACAACTGGAATTCTAGAACTCAAGGTGTCATTCTAGGTGCATATTATCATGGATACGTTGTTACTCAGTTACCAGGTGGCATTCTGGCTGAAAAGTTTGGCGCTAAATGGGTGTTTGGCGGCGGTGTGTTGGCAACATCAATATTTTCCTTGTTAACTCCGTTGGCTGTCAGTTGGGGTACAACTGCTTTTATTTGTGTTCGAGTGCTTCAAGGTTTTGCTGACGTAAACATACTTATCATTAAATTTTCAATCCTTACCCATTTGCATTTTTCGCAAAATTTAATTTCTACATCTAAAGAAGTTGTAAAATTAATTTCTTACACTTATACTAAATTTGAATGATTTTTATAATCCATAGTTTATGAAATACTGCATTAAACACCTTAGCCTATTTCTTGAGTTAGAGGTATAATCGTCCAAGTACACTTCCAAATAGTAATTCTTCAAATTTGTGCTAAGAGATTAGTTCTAAGAGAAACAGTTATTCCTCTTTGAAATTTATTTAAACTAGTGGGCTGCTCCCCGTGCTCGCTAACGCTCGCCAACCCCCGAAAATTGCTACGCAATCTTATATGGTTTGCTTCGCAAACCAAGCTCGCTTCGCTCGCTACTAACTTAGGTACATTGCAAATGCACAAAATTCTAAGAATTCAAAACAATCATTCAAATCCATATAAAAACTTTTTTTTTTAAAAAAATTAATCTTTTTAGTAAATACTAAGTCACTAAAATAAATTTGAATTCAAATAAATGACTTGTAATTAGAAACCTATTAGAAATGTGCTATAGTATAAAATCTTAAAGCGTAACAGCACGACTGAAACTCATTTTTCAATGAATAACTAATAACAATAATAAAACAAATAAATTCGTGATATAAATCAAAAATCGTCAAATAAATGCGTAACATATAAATTCGTAAAAAAAAAAGCGCTTTTGACAAAATACTAAAACCGAGATCTATCGACAAAGACTACTCACTTCTGCCTAGCGTAATAGTATGAAATTGCCGCAGCTGATAGGGTGTATTTCGGAAGAGATCACATTTGGTTAAAATGCTCTCTCTGGTAATTTTAGTTTCTGATTTTAAAAGCGCTATATGTTGAGCCACCTCAGCTAGTTTTGGCATGTGACATTTTTAGCGGCAATCATTGGTCGATTTTTTAGCGTTGCCATTCGGGGAGTTATAATGAGGCTTTTTTTGTCACCGTGTAACAGAAATATATATATATATTGTAAAATAAATTATTCATAATTTTTTGAAAATGAATGGGGGGAAATTTCACACTACTTTTGTTTGGATTTTATATATTAATGCAAATATAATTACTATAATATAACAGATATTTTAATAACTATTTGATTTTATTATTATAACAAAAATATCAAAATATATTTTACATGTTATTAGAGAGTCAGAAAAAATATATAAATAAAATGTAGCATCCCATCTGCATCAAGGAATAAAAGGAAATGTAATTCGATTCTAGGAGGTCAAAACTTTTAAGCTGAAACCCTAAATTCAGAGTAAAATTAACCATTTGGACTCCGATGCCCTCCTTAATAGATGTTGCCAACGGATATTATTAATTGCAGCTCGATTTGAGAACCGCGTAAAACAATTATAGATAAATATTTTTAGGCCTAATATGACGCTGTATCACCATTTAAAATTAAAATAAAGCTAAGACTAGAAACCTTCATGCAAATTCAACTAGAAANTATATATAAATATTTTTAGGCCTAATATGACGCTATATCACCATTTAAAATTAAAAGAAAGCTAAAACTAGAAACCTTCATGCAAATTCAACTTGAAATTTGCTGCAACTGTTTTTTGTTTTAAAATATTTTTGTAGCTTATCTCAGTGTCTCCGGGCCTAAGCCTTTGAAAAATAAAATTGTGGGAGTAAAATTTTAGTTAAAATATGTGTATAGTACCATGTTTTGTAAATGACAGAGGATATATCCCCATTTTCGGCATGAAACTTACTTTAACCCTTTCAACACGGCGAAAAATCAGCAGGGGTGAGAGCGAGACGGAAAAGAGGAAAGGCAGGTAGTAAAGCCATTTCAGTTATAGCTAGTTTTGGGGAGGAGTTTACTTATTCTTTTTTTGAATTTTGCAACAATATCTACTTAATCTTGGAAAAGAAGATGTTTTATATATATGCCAGAATTATAAAAGAAATCTTGATAGTTACAGATATTTCATTTTTTTCAGAAAAAATGCTGGAATGAAATGTTTTACGCACCAGGTTTTTCTCTTTTCCGTCTTGCTATATAAGGGCTTTCACCCATGGACTGGGACAGCACATGTCCCGTCCGGTGCGAAAAGGTTAAATCGATGAGAACCAACTTGTTGAACTTGAAAGTAAACTTCTATTACCTTCCAAACGAGCCCAGTGTTGATCTCATGGCCACAGTCATGCCGTAGGCTACATGCTATATTTCCTAGGCTCATAAAAGTTTGCAAAAACTGAGAAGGGTTTTGGCAGAGAGTTTGAAAACTTTTATCTAGGTGGGAAAATTTCGCCTAATTCGCGATTTTTAAAAAGTTTAATAACTTTTAAAATTTTTAAGTTATTTGCTTGTTATAAATCCTAGATAATTTTTCATGGCAAAATTATATATAAAGTTTAAAATCATCACATTGCTTCAAATGTAAGGCCCTTAAGCTATAGCTTTTTTTTCTTTGGCGATAGAGTTTCGAAAAACAGCGTTAACTTTCATGAGACTCACAAGGGGCTGTCATAAAATAATAAAAAAACGAAGGAATTTCGTCTCAATTTTTTATTAACAAGAAATAATAAGAGAGACTTAAAGTCAACAATTTCAGAGGGAGGGGGTTGTCAGTTTATTTTTTTTTTTTTTTTGCTCGTGGCAAAAAATTTGGTTTTGAAAGTTTCAAAATCTAGTTTTACTCACTGTTTCAAATCAATAATTCAAACATATATTTGCAAAATTTCCTTTTTAGACACTTATCCTTTGAAGTAAACCATCGGTGAGCCATTTTTATTCTGAATACAGCTTCAAATGCGATTTTTAGAAAATGGACACAGCTCAGAAAATGCCTCTGTTCAATATTAAACCCAAATTTAACAACTATTTCAATCTAAATCCAAATAATTGTTTTAATCCAAATTTCACAAAGAGTAAACTTTCGTACACGCTTTTTCAGACACTAAACATAATCGATATGGGGTAAAACTTCAGCCTACGGGATCAAGAGGGTTCATACGTATCTTTTTAAGAATCTCTTCGTACTTAGAATCGTAAACGATTAAGTGATTTTTGAAAAAATATTTAAATTCGTACAACGGCAATTTAATAACACTATTATGAATATGCTCATTTTCTTAAAAACTCATTTTCAGATTTTTCCAGCAAAAAAAAAAAATGTTCCCTGTCGACATTCTTCTTTCTCTGATTTTTTTTTTATTTATTTATGAATTTGCGTAATCTTTCCCAATAACCGCACTAAGCTGGAAACTATGTAATTATTAAATTTTAATATTCTAGAAAATCCCAATCCCTTGGAAAGAAATAATAATGTCCGCACCTGTATGGGCTTTTACATTTGCCATGATAGGACATAGTTTCGGTTACCTCATGTTGATGACAGAGTTACCAACTTATCTAACCACAATTCTTCATTATGATTTGGCAGCGGTAAGTAATTTTAACATGTAAATTATCCTTCTCTTCAAAATACGAAATAAGTTTTTTTTACGTTTACAGGGCTGCCAACTTCTTAAGCTTTTTGTAAAAAAAAATTTTCAAGTAATAGCTAAGTTTATGCTTTAATTCATTATATTTTTCTTAAACTAACTTATTTTCCGAACCACTACGTATAAATGATTTAAAGGTTCATATACAACGCCACTTAGTACGAGCCTTTAATTTGTTAGGAAAATTACCAAACATTTTGGAAGATTTGGTTATTAAATGTCTACTACTCTATAAAATATTTTGCTGAAAACGTAGTAGTTTGCAGGCATGCATTTAAACTTGCTTTACGGAATGATTATCATTTTTATCCCCTTTAATAATTATTTTGATTAAAATTAATTTTTATTTCCATTAAAAAAATTTCATAGCTTTAAATAGTTTTTCTTATTTGTTTAACAAATTTTATTTAAGGTTACTTTTAATAAAATAATTCTGCTTTTTTTTATTTTCCTATGTTCTAATGTAGAAAGTTAAGTCGAGGATTAATCACACAGTTGAATTCATTAATCTCAATTTCTGAAAAACTATTTAACCGATTCTTTTCAAATTTGGATTTAATCATTTAAAATTGTGTAGGTTTAACTGGTCTAAAAATTAACATATCTTCATTTAAAAACTTTTATCACCATTAGTAAATTAAATAATAAGAAAAATATTTCTCCACGAAATTATGTTGGGATAATCGAGTTTTATGTTTGACGCCAAAATATTTCAATTGTCTTTAATAATTCCTTATGAATGTTGAAATAAGAAGAAACTATAATCAACATCAAAAGATATAAAGTTTCGGTGGTGTTGAAATATGTAGAAAGTGTAATCAACATTAAGAAAGTCAAAGTTTCTATTTGAAATACATAGAAGTTGTAATAAACATCTAGAGATCCAAAGTTTTGACCTCCCTCTTGCCTAAATTATGGGTACCCCATTTTTCAGAAAATGACTACCCTTCCTCTTACAGTTACAAATTCAAGTTTACAATTCAAGTTACAAATTCAAATTCACAGTTCAAAAGTCAAGTATTCAAATTCATCGATAAAAATGTAAATTTAATCAGAGAAAGTTTGTTTTTGAGTCTGATTCTTCAACTTAAAAGTTAACACAAATTAGTTCGCATATTTGAGGTTAGGTTCTTGAATCATTAACACTGAGTTCCAACACGTGAAACTCCGATCACTAGATCGTAAGTTATTTATGGTGTATGTTTATGAACATTCGTATTCAATTCTTTAGAATGGGTTCCTGTCTGCAATTCCTTTCATTCTACAATTGTTTGTTTCATGGATTGCATCATGGGCTGCTGATAAACTTAGGAAGGCCAACAAGTTTTCCATCACATTCATTCGAAAATTGTTCAATACTATAGGTGAGAATTCAGTATTTTATTTTATTTTAATTTTTTATTTAACTTAGTACTGCACCGAGTTCGCAACACTTTTACTCTCATTATCTACTCTACATGTAAGGCAGCAAAATTTAAAAAAAAATATCGCTCTAAATTAACCCTTTGCAATAGGGTAAGTTCCCCGATGCCGTAACTTACTTTCCACTCTGAATGTTTTAATTTATATCTTTTTTTGTTTAGTTGTTGTTGCTATTGTTGTCGATCATTAAGGCAGAAGGGGGGCGATTGTTTTTTTTTCCAGTGGTGCCATCTATGGGCAAGAATTCGTCTTCTGCCACACCCGTTGATAGGGCAAACCTATTTATACATTCATTCATTCGTCCACAGATTATAATTTGACCTGAACTAGAGAACGATTTATTTCCAACTCAGTACCCCCAGAGGTTTTGGTTTGTAATGAGAAGATGTAGAAATTTGTGACCCGACAGATTTAATGTGCACCAGTCACTATTTACTATACAGGGAGTATTCAGCAGGCTGGATTCGAACGCCAGTTCTCACAAACAGGAATATAGGGCTCTGCCAACCAGGCTGTCCCGACCCTTATGATTTAGTAACCAAATTATTTCATGGTGTTATACGATGATTATACTATCTGCAGATTTTGTCTTGTAAGTTCTTCATAGTTACATCCTTTTTTATAATTGTATAAGGAACTTCAAAGCGCTTGAATGTGATTAGTAAGGGTACATAGCCCTTAGGTAGAATTAAGTTTTTTTTAGGTACATATATAATTTGTACGCTTACCCTTCTTTTGACGGAAATGGGGATGAGTTGAGGGAAGATAATTGATTTAACGTTTTTGGAGTATTTTTCACTATGAATTGAATAAGAGAATCCCGTAACGATCAAACTAATAGTTTAAAAGTTATAAACGTTTTACGTACTAAAAGTAACGTATAAAAATAATCAAATAAGCAACCAAACAATTTTTTATTTGTTTACGGACCTGTCATTACGATTAAAACAAGTGAGGCTTTGCTTCCTTTGCCTTTTTTATCACTGAATTAAATGAGACTATACACAAGTCAATAGAAACAAATAGTTGTAGTAAGAGATTTAATGTATAAAGAGTACTATTTTGGCACCAACTTTACTGTATTAATTATAGTTAATTTTTTTTATATACTTAACATTATTGATTAATAGGAATTGATTGATTTAGGAACTATTTGTAAAGAAAACATTTTGTAGTTCAGAATGTCCAAATTAGGTTATTATAATTAATTTTTCTTAGGTATGACGGCTCCAGCTATTTGTTTATTGGCTATAACACAATCTGGTTGTCGTCCCGAACTCATAGTTGCCTTACTGTCCATTGGATTAGGAATTGATGGTTGCGTATTTTCAGGATATAACATTACCACTGTGGATATGACGCCTAACTTTTCTGGTAAGTTCAAGATAAATGAAGCATTTTAAAAATGAAATTTGCATGGCATGTTATAATAGAAAAATTTAAACTTCTATGTTAGTTTGCTTTTCCTACTATTTTAGATTATAAACTTCATGTCTTGTTTTAAGTTAGTATTACTTTTAAAAACTTTATCAAATATATTGTTTAATCGCTTTAGGAACTATTTATGGCATAGCAAACACAATCGCTAGCTTGTCTGGTGTTATAGCGCCAATGGCTGTAGCGTATTTCCTGCATAGTGGAGTAAGTTAGATTTCTCTTATAGCGCCAATGGCGGTAGCGTATTTCCTACACAGTGGAGTAAGTTAAATTTCTCTTATATTTTCAATGCTAAGAAAAATAATAAAATACGGGATAGAGCCGCTGTAGTTCAGGGATGGAGAGTTTGCCTCCCAAAGAAGTGACCCAGGTTCGAATACTAACAGGGACTGGCTGATACGAATTCTGCTCTCGATTGGCATTGGCTAACGTGAAGTATCCTTAGTGGTAGCAGGATCATGGGTTAAGGTTTCGTTTTTCTCCTCTTCATTTAACGCAAAAGAGGGTTAGTTCCATCAAAAAGTTCTCCGTGAAAGCTAGTCTGTCCCAATGCTTGATCCAAGAGTTCCCTCGTCTTTTGTTTTGGGTTGAAAATTATAAGGCTATAAAGTTGATCATTGATAGTCGCAAACTCAGAATTGGGTCTGCTCTTCAATCCTGGTTAAATAAAAAAAGTTAATAAATATGGGGATGACAGGGATGTAAGATGCATCAAAAAAGTAAAATGTAATAACAATCGCAAAATGAATTATTGTGAAAAACCGAAATAATTTAAATTGCTTATTTTAAAAAACCAAAGACCGTCGGACTTTGTACTAGATATACATGCAGTATCAATGTAAATAATAGAAAGTTCGCAATTGTAGATTAAAAGAAGAATTAAAAAAAATTGATTTTATTAAAATTGTTTCGGTCAATAATTATGAAAACAAAAAACAATTTGCACAATTAAACAAAATGCGATACAAATTGCACAATTTAAATATTTGGAACAAATATATTTTTTAAAATTTATTTCCTTAACTGTTACGTTTAAGTCCTGCAGTGGATTGATCGTAAAGACATGAATTCCCTTTTGAGCATCAAAGTCAAGCAACGCTGACTGTTGTCAGTAAGCTAGTGGGAGACTTTGATCAGTCTGCCGTAAGAACCGAGGGTGCGTGGTATTGGTCCTCGTTAAACTGTTCTACCGTAAAGTGCTCGACTACCCGTAAAGTACTCGTCGGACTACCAAAGCAAGAAGGCCATCAAAATTGTGATGGCATGTGATAGCAATCTCTACGATGTTTTCCAGGCAGTCGCCAATAACCCATTGTGTAGCTCTAGTGAAATAAAGTACCTACCTACCTGTTACGTTAAAATACGAAATATAGTTATTAAAAATGCCTTTCAATTTTAACGTATATAAAAAATAAAATAGAAAATAAAATAGAAAAAAGATAACGGGCTCTATCTTCTGCTCTTTAACTCACTACTAATGTTCTTTACTATCTCTTTTTCAGGCGAAAAATAGTCAATATCAGTCAATTTTATACTATGCATTAAAAATTAACTAAAAACAATCACATGAATTTATTATTCATGATTATAAAAAATGCACTAGATTTATTTTTACTTTTTTCTACATGCTATAAACTAAATATGAACTAAATTTGAAAAATAAAATAAAGGAAACTCGTCTGATTTCCGTTAATTTCTGCTTAATATTCGCCATGTTTTCTCGCAATTAGCTATTTTCTCTCTAAATTATTAGTAACACTCCATAAGTTAAGTTTGGAAATGCTTTTTTAAGTATTTTTGTAGCAATAAACTTACAAAACAATACACTTACAAAGCACACTAAGCGCATTTAAGCTACACTAAAAGTGGCATAGTTTCAATATAGGTCACTGGAATATTATCCAGTGGAAGTTTGGAGTAAATTCGACTGGTTAGAAAACAATATCACGCTGGCTCCAGCTAAAAACAGCGCATCTACACAAAGGTCATAGCATGAATACCAGCTTAGTACTCCACTCGTACACACAAGTCATCGCGTGGATGCCGTCTTAGTACGGCACTCGTACTCACGAGTCATAGCGTGTAGGACTGCTTTGCATGGTTCTCGTACGCACAGATCTTCGCATGAACGCCGGCTTTGTATGGTTCTCGTACGCACAAGTCATCACGTAGACGCTGGCTAAATACGGCTCACGTACACATAGATCATCGCGAGNTACTTGTACTTTTTACTCGTTACTTTTTAAAATAAGAACTTTTTACTTTTTACTCATTACTTTTTTTAAAAATACTTGTACTTTTACTCGTTACTTTTTAAAAGTAACGTTGCCATGCATGCGCACAAGTCATCACGTGGACGCTGGCTAAATACGGCGCACGTACACATAGATCATCGCGAGGATGGTGACTTAGTACGGGGCAAATACTCAAAAGTCATCACGTGAATGCCTGCTTAGTACGGCACTCGTACAGGCAGTTTAGCGAGTGGACGTCGATTTCGTCCGGTACAAATACATGACGTGGACGCCGGTTTAGTACAGCAAACAGGTCATCGAGTAGATGTCGACTAAATAAAGTGGGCGTAACGAATAGGTTAAATGTCGATATTTTTGCTCTGCATCGCAAAATATAAAAACCGCTCTTATTGGCTGTAGGGATCATAGATCGTATTGGCGACAACTCGGAACAACAATCGCCAACACATGTTCCCTTTAACCAATAAAAGTCAGTTTTTTTTCTTCTTAAAAATTCTTTTCTTTTCGGCTAAAAACATGTTTTAACCACTTTTTTGCAAAAACAAGTAATTTATTAACATTAATTTCCTCTTCAGACCACAATAGAAAACTGGAGTAAAGTATTCTACACAACTGTGGCTATTTATTTCATTTGTTCTGTCACATTCATTGTTTTTGGATCTGCTGAACTGCAACAGTGGAATTCTGAAAAAATAAAGGAAAAGAAGATAAAGGACAACACTACGTGCGTCACGAATCCTACTTGTGTTCTAAATCACAGAGCATCATCTCTGGAAACATTCAGGTGCTGATGACGAAGAAATGAAACTTGGTTGAATTGTCTACTTCTAGATCACAGCTTTAGTAGCATAGCTGTCCACCCAGAAGAAACAGAACATTTTAAGTGGTAGCCAAATAACAATAAAGCTAAACTGAATTACTATTGCCTATCCTGAAAAACTTCTCAATATAATAAGTTGTGTATCTGTGTTTAAAGTATTTGTATCCAGTGATGGAAAAAATCATTCTAACTTTAATTTAATAAAACAGTTATAAAGTATTAAATCGTAAAATTTTAATAAACATTTGTAATGAACTTTCATGAAGGAGTGTTAAAAAATTTTGACTTGCAATGTGGACGTTGAGATTAAAAGGGGTTGTGGAACCTTTGCAGGGATGTCTAATGATCCGCTTTTTGACACAGTTTTAATAAACTGGTAGCGAATTCTACAGTAAAATTTGCAGAATACAGGAGTAAATATTTACGAAGTTTTTATTTCCATATTCGGAAGTATAAGTGATTTCAATTTCATTAATTCAGATTGACATTTTATTTTAGAACGTGTGGTAAAACAACTAATGTCAGCAACATCGATGTCTGTGTAAAGTGTATTAGATTTGAGGAGAGGGCGAAAATATTTTAATCCTGGATGATGATCACTGGAAAAAAAAGTGACGAATTATTGGGTGAAAAAATACCCCTGCTCCATCGCATACAGTATTTTTAATCTCTTTAAATTTGATGCTAATTGAAAACCTAAAGCTAAATCATACGAAGAAATGAGCAAGTAATAAGCGATAAATAACAGAGTGTACAGTTTTATGTTTTGTTGCTCATTTCTAACAGTTTTTCATACAGATGAAAACCTGTATGAAAAACCAAGAAAACCTAAGAAACCAACCTACTATCGAATAAAGCTACCATAATGTTGCTCAACACAAAATGCTTTTATACAATGGTTAAATTATTTTTCACGATGTATGGGTTAGAGGCCGCTGCACGGCTCCGGCACCCAATCTTTTTGTAAATAAATAAAGAGGCTCTATCGCAATGAAAATTTTAAAATGCTGGAAAAATTACCAATAATTTTGGAAGCTTTGGTACATAATTGCATACCTGCCAACTTTTACGCATTTGGCGTAAATTATAAAATGAATTATAAAATTATTATTATGGCGTATATTTAAAGTGGTAGTAAAATGAATGCTTTCTATATATTCCTTCCATTTATNAGCCGGCGTGAACGTGTTAATAAATCTTCTCAGCCCATAATTGTCTACCACTCTATAAAATCTTTTACAAACATAACATTAACGCAACTTTGTTAATTCTTTTTCTTGAAAATGGGGGAAGGTCCAAAATTTATTTTACTTTTTTGTGTGTTAGCAGATACATTTACCTGTAACGTGGAACAATTAGTTTTTCAGAGCAACAATGCTGTTTTAAAAGAAGCTAAATTTTAAAAAAAAGGAAAATTTTGCATTGTTTGAATGGCTACTAACAGCTTGAATAACCCAAGAAAATGCTGGATTGCAGTACCTGTTCTAATAGTGAATTTTAATAAATAGTAATAACGAAAAGAATCGGAACTTGTTGTTTAACTTAGACTTTCAGATCAGAAATACCCCCAAATACTGCATTTTTCACTAACTTTGAGCATAACTCCAAAAGGCAACAATTTTCCAAGGTACACAGAAATTCCAAGGTACATGTCCATAACTAGGCAGCGATATATTAGCATTACGGAAAACAAAATTTTGGGACATTGTTGCTTCCTTATAAAATGTAAAAAAAATACAGAATGTAGGATATTGCTGGCAGGCAGACAACAACATGTTTTTTTTTAAATTTCAAATACAACAACCTTGGAGATTCTTGCTTGCGCAAAAAGAGTTACATAATGCTTTAAGCGACCCGTGATGGCTCAGGGGACAGAAAGTTCGCCTTCCAACGAGGTGGTAATTATTATTAAATAATTGTTTCACCATGCGAAAAGTTTAAAAAAAGAAATTGAATACAACAAAATGGTTAAAATATTAAATCTGAAAATTTTAAGGGTTTCCTAATTTTCCTTTGAAAATTATTTCGCGCTTTAAAAGGAAGGAGCTAACAAATGGTAACTTATTTCTCATTGGCTGAGAATGATGATTTCGTGTGCAAAGGGGAGTAGCTATCGCTATGACGCAAAATGGGCGGAGCGAGGGGACTTTGGGTCTGATTCTTTAACGACGACGACCTGCTCCTTNATATCGTCTACACTTAATAATTACCATACTCACTCTTAGGTCATCCCTTTGAACTGTAAAGAACTAGTGCTTGAAGGTGAAGATCCGATCATTAACTTAAAAGTTATTCAGCGTGATTTTTTTTTGTTGCCCTTTTTACCTTCGATACATTTTGAAGTCATTGAGGTAACCCCTAAGAACTACCGACCTCCATTAACACGTTCCCGCCGGGAAAAGAGAAAATACTGGTAGAAGAACTATTTCAATATTAGTAATAAATAAAATTTAAAAAAAGTACAGAATGTAGGATATTGCTGGCAGGCAGACAACTGCATGTTTTTTTTTAAAAATTCAAGTACAAGAACCTTGGCGATTCTTGCTAGCGCAAAAATTCAAATACAACAACCTTGGCGATTCTTGCTAGCGCAAAAAGAGTTACAGAATGCTTTAAGCGACCCGTGATGGCTCAGGGGACAGAAAGTTCGCCTTCCAACGAGGTGGTAATTATTATTAAATAATTGTTTCACCATGCGAAAAGTTTAAAAAAAAAATTTAATGCAACAAAATGGTTAAAATATTAAATCTGAAAATTTTAAGGGTTTCCTAATTTTCCTTTGAAAATTATTTCGCGCTTTAAAAGGAAGGAGCTAACAAATGGTAACTTATTTCTCATTGGCTGAGAATGATGATTTCGTGTGCAAAGGGGAGTAGCTATCGCTATGACGCAAAATGGGCGGAGCGAGGGGACTTTGGATCTGATTCTTTAACGACGACGACCTGTTCCTTTCTTTCTCGGATAAAGTTAGATAAGGGATGTGACGTAGTCAAAGGAAAACAAATATATGAAAATACAACTCCTATTTTTTCTGATAGATGGCAGCACTAAATTAAAAATAATTTCTAGGTTATTGAAATTTTTGTTGCCCTTAGAATAAATGTTTTTTTCCTCGTAAATTTTTTATTTATTCAAATATAAAAGTATTATTTTGATTTTGAGCTCATCAAAGACAAAATAAAATATAGCCCGGCAAGCACCTTTTTCCTGTCCGACGGAGTTTTGTCCCGTAAATTTTGTAAATAGCTGTAAAATCTTGTAAATAATTTTGCGCATTTATTATGTATTTCTCCTTTTCTCTAAGGCTATGTGGCTACTGTGCACCTGAGAAGTTCGGGGGTAATACCTCGAAGGGAGGCGAGGCAGTCTGCCACAAAACCTCGTCTCTCTCTTAAACTTGTTTGTTCAATCACACTACTTCATTTTAATTTTCTCTCAGTAAAAGATACTGAACCCCAACTTTCACCTTTCAGTTGCGCTTCGGCGATTTATTATTTATTTCCACTCAGAGAATTAATTAGAGCCCCTAGCGGGGCTGATGCTAAGATAACCATCACATATGAGTATGAGTTAAGTAACGTAGATAATGAAACTTCGATCAACGGTAGAACAGATTGCAACACCGGTTGAAACCTCTATGGATTTGGAAGAACCAGGAGCTAACAAATGGAAACTTATTTCTCATTGACTGAGAATGGTGATTTCGAGTGCAAAGAGGAGTAGCTATCGCTATGACGCAAAATGGGCGGGGCGAGGGGACTTTTCATCTGATTCTTTAACGACGACGACGACCTACTCCTTTCTTTCTCAGATAAAGTTAGATGGGGGTTGTGACGTAGTCAAAGGAAAATAAATATGAAAATACAACTCCTATTTTTTCTGATAGATGGCAGCACTACATTAAAAATAATTTCTAGGCCATTCAAATTTTTGGGGCCCTTAGATAAAATGTTTTTTCCTCGTATATTTTTTATTTATTCAAATATAAAAGTATTTATATATCTTTTCATTTAGGAAAGCAATATGATTAACATTATGTAAAAAAGTTATGTTTTCGAGTTGTTAACTGCGGTTAATAAGATTCTGAAATGCATTAATAAGGATAACGGTTTTCCACATTTCTTTTTTGCTCAGATTTATATATAAATAAAGGTGTAGGGAAATTTGAATATCATTATTTCTCTGTGTGCTCTTCGCGGTTGCTCATAAAATTATTCTTTTTCTAATAAGTTGTGGTGGACCGTAACTTCAATAAATGCCGCTGTAATCTGGGAAATATTGTCCCAATAGTTAAATTCCTGTTGCCACACATCCCGTAGTAAAGTTACATTTTGTGATAATACAGTATAATAATAATAAATAACTTACATTCATAGATTTCTAATGTATAACCCAACCATGAAATTCAATGAAAGATATTTTTTTCTTTCTTTTTTTTATTATCTTGAGTGTTTACTGTTTAAATGCGCATTCAATAAAAAAAAGTTCCAAATAGAAAGGAATAGATAAAAATGAATATTAAATAAAGGGTGGGAAAAGGCTTTTTTTTGTGAACAAGTTTAATATTAGGATTAGCAGAAAATTCTGCCCGTGAGAAACTCGTGTTACTTCCCCCCCAGTGGTAAGCGGTTTGGTTGTTGGGTTAGAGTCACCTTGCCCTCAGGTGAATCATGGGTGTTTTTCCTCTCCACGTACAACAAATTCAATATTTCCCCCAATACTTGATCCTGAAGTTCCCCCTTATCTTCTAGATTGGAATCGTAAACTGACAAAATTGGGACGACTGTTCAACGATGGTTAAAAAATTTTTTAAAAAAAATAGTGTTTTGCTACCCAGGCAATATTTTTTTTGCTGTTATCATTTGGGAAATGCATACGAAGAGTTAAAAGTTTTATTAAGCATACGAAGAGTTAAGAGTTTATAGTTTCATCATCTGTTCGTTTAATATTACCATTCACAATACACGATAATAAGTGAATTTTATTTTCACTGTGCGAGAGATTTAAGAAACACAAATTCAATTTTAACTGGGTCACCGTTAAATGAGTCAGCGATTCCACAATCAAAGCGGTTAAAACAGTATTCACGTCCTTTGACGTCGTGGCGACGAGAAATGGGGAGCGAGGAATCTGTTTGGCGACCTCTTTTATCAAGAAACTTGGAAAATAGAAATCAATAGTCAATGGTATGAAAATTTTCACATTTTACTTAATTCATA